GCCTCCAGCAGACAGAAAACAAGACTCAAAGCTCCAGTTATGCCGTACTCAATTTAAACCACCTTAGATATTCAACCTTTAAACAGCAGGACAAATTGTTTTCCTTATTTTCACCTGAATCAGTCTGATACCTATCCCTCCCCTGCCCTCCCAACCCTCCAAAAAACAAAAAACGAAAAGAAAAGAATCAGAGAATTCAAATCAGAGTAAAGATCTTTAGGCGATTTGGTGATAAAAAACCAATCTTCTCATTTTCAGTGAAAGGCATTTTAATGGTACCTCAGGGGGAGGAAATGCTGAAAAGAGTCATTTTAATAAAAAATAAGATTACACCAAACAGATTACAACAACAATAAAAAATTTTAAGAACCTTTCTCAAAGACTCAATAGAGTTCTGGGTGGGGTGGGGTGGGGATTGGCGGATCCTGTACATTTAAATGGGATTATGACATTTATGGACTCCTGGTGTGGTGCTGTAGGATAAACACTGAACTACAAACCACAAGGTTAGCGGTTCAAAGCCACCAGCTGCTCCTTGAAAACCCTACACAGGGTGGCTATGAGTCGGAACCTACTGGATGGCACTTCACAACAAAATGCCATTTACCTCATTAACTTCTATAAGATATGAAGCATTTCCTTCCATTATGAAAGTATCAGTAAATGTGTCCGTAATGAAAATTACGAAGACTTCTCATCATATTCCGGTGGTTGCACGCTTTAAAATCTCGGTTATGTGCACTGATACTTCAACACCATTAAGAGATAGCCTACTGCTATTATTTCTTTAATAAAGAAGCATGTTACTATCCTCTTTTCTTTTGGTAGCTTCCTAACTGCCTTCTAACATAATTGGCTTCCTTTATAACTTTATGTATTTTACTTTATGCCTTTAAAAAACATTGTTCTGAGAAAGAATTATTGAACTTCACCAGACACCAGAGGTTTTGTTTTTTTAAAAAAGGTAAAGAACCCCAAATAAGAGAAGTTAGAAGCGCATATTCGGTTAGCGGTTCTCCTTCACCCCTGTTGTACCCCTTGGTCCCCCGCAAAACACGTCCAAGCGAAATCCCACCCGAGGTGCGGAGTTTGGGGAGAAAGCCGAGGCTGTCTGCTCCGGTAAAGACCTAATACAGCCTTGGAAAGACAGGGTCGCTATGTGTTCGAGTCGACTCGAGAGTAGTGGTTTTTTATATGGTGTGGAGTCTAGTACATCCCAAGAAAAGAAAAAAAAAATTAATTAAACAGTAACCCCATCCCTCCGATTCCAGAAAGACGCCATCCCTGATGCTCGAGAAGACCAAGGACCCCCGTACGCCCGTGAGTTTCTACAACCGAGTCGACTCAAGATGACTCGAGAACTCACGCATCTGCGCCTCCTTCTTCTGGGGCAATCCCTTCATCTATCAGCTGCCGAATCTTCTGAGGGGTCCCTTCTGGAGAACGAATAACTGCACCCCGATTCTTTTCTACCCCCGCAGCAAACAAGAGCCCCTCACTGGGCGCCGCCATCTTGGTCCGTTGCCGGGTTGCTTCCCCGCGGGCTCGAACGCTCAGGATTTCCGTTCTGGACTGTTAAGCTCCGCCTCTGGAACGTTTGCAGACACCATCAGTTCAACTGTAGACCCACCCGGTCTTGATCCTTTTATAGTTACGACTTTACGACTGGTTCCCAGAACGAAATCTTGATGAATCCCTACTTTTAGGAATGAGTTTATTTGGGCTGACAGAGGGTTTGTAGAACTGTGTGTCTTCAAATCTGGCTGGGATGGGGGTGAGGGACCCACTTAAGTAATTCGTTCATTCTAAAGTAATTCATTCATTCCTAAACTACACCGTTTTACAAAGGATGGTTGAATTTTGTTTGTGGCGTTTGACACTTTTTCCTGGTGTGGCGCTGCGAGAGAATACCCTGAACTGCAAGGTTAGTTTGAACCTCAAGGTCAGCGGTTCAAACCCACCAGCTCCTCCTTGGCAACCCTATACAGGGTCGCTATCGGCCGGAACCGACTTTACGGTACTTAACAACAACAACTTAACTAATGACAGCAGTTAACAAAGGAGACATAGTTCTTACAGCAATTAGACATCAAGCAAAAATACTTTCCTTTGGTTTAAAATTATGATTATGCAAATTCTGCACAGAGGACTTGCTAACAGTACAATTGGAGAAGTTAATTTAGTCTTCAGACTGAGAAAGGTGGTGCTGGAGCTGAGATGGATGAGATTATAGGAAGAGATCTGCCCAATTTTCCAAAGCTCCAGACTGAAAGGAGTGTTTTCTCATGACCAGCTGAATGAAAAAAAAAAAAAAACAACAACAAAAAAAACAGCAAAGGAACCAAGCAGGCTGCAAAAGTGAAATCGGGATCTCATCCTACTTATGGAAGTGGCAGTGAAGAAATCAAACATAATACTTGTTGCTTTAGACAAATCTGCAAATGACTGCTTTAAACTTTTAAAGAGCAAAAATGTCATTGAGGATTAAGGTGTGCCTGACCCAACAACAGTATTTTCAGTCCTGGTGTGGCGCTGTGAGTTAATGCGCCAGACTGTAAAGCCAGTTTGAACTGCAAGGTTGATGGTTCAAGCTCACCAGCTGCTCCTCGAAAACTCAGCGGCACTTACCAACAACAACATTTGCATGTGAAAGTTGGACAATAAATAAAGACTACAGACGAAAATATTTGAATTATGGTGTTGGTGAAGAATATTGAAAGTACCACGGACTGTCAGAACAACTGGAAGAAGTACATCCAGAATGCTCCTTAGAAGCAAGGAAGGAGAGACTTCGTCTCTCTTACTTTGGGCATGTTGTCAGGAGGGACCAGTCCCTGGAGAAAGACATCATGCTTGGTAAAGTGGAGGATCCGTGAGAAGAAGATGACTCACGAGGAGCTGGATTGACAAATGGCAACAACAATGGGCTTAAACAGAACAATTGTGAGGATGGTGCAGGCCCGGGCAGTGTTTCCTTCTTTTGTGCTTAGGGTCACTGAGTTGGAATGGACTGTCCAGCACCTAAGAGCAATAACCACCCATCCTCCAGCTTACTCCATCCATATAGGCTTCTGTCTCCAGCGATGCCAACTATTGACCCTTCCACCTTTCCACTGCCCCTAATACCTTTCCCGCTTTGTTTCTTCTCTCCTTATAGCCAGTTGCCATAGAGTTGATTTGGGGTCATAATGACCCATGTGACAAAGTAAAACTATGCACCATAGGGTTTTCAGTGGCTGATTTTTCAGAAGTAGATTGCCGGACATTCTGAGGGATCTCTGGGTGGACTTGAACCTCCAACCTCAGGACAAGATGTGGTTGTTAAGTGCCGTTAAGTCGGTTCTGACCCATAGCGATCCTGTATAGGGTTTCCAAGGAGCGACTGGTGAGCTTGAACTGCCAACCTCACAGTTTGAACAGCGTTGCAGTCTGGCGCATTAACCCACAGCGCCACACCAGGACTCTCTGGAGAAGAGGCCAAGTGAATTAACCATTTGCAACCCTCAAGGGACTCATTAAAGTGTCATTGAGTCAGTTCCAACTCATAGAGGACCAGTATAGGGTTTCAGAGGAGCAACTGGTGGGTTTGAACTGCCAACCTTCTGGTTAGCAATCCAGTACTTATCCTACAGCACCACACCAGGACAGGGACTCATTGTTAAGTGCCATCGAGTCGGTTCCGACTCAGAGCGACACTGTGTTAAGGGTTTCCGAGGAGAGACTGGTGAGTTTGAACTGCTGACCTTCTGGTTAGCAATCCAGTACTTATCCTACAGCACCACACCAGGACAGGGACTCAGACTCAGAGCAACACTGTGTTAAGGGTTTCCGAGGAGAGGCTGGTGGGTTTGAACTGCCGACCTTGCAGTGCATTATCCCTTTGCCAATCATTATCATCATTCGTTTGAAATTTTTGATTATAAACTGATCATTGATAAGTTGTTACCCACACAGCTATTGGCCCATAACTTGGTACTATTAAAACTTTACATATTAACATTTCACCCTTCCCCAATGTCTAATTAAACCATTTCTTAAGAATCTTCTTTGTGTAGTCAATATTTTACACTTGTACTTTTTTGTTTGCATCTTTTCATTCAATTCTTTGTTGTTATGTGCCATCATAGTGATCCTGTGGGGCAGGATCACTAAGCCCCACAGGGGTTTTCTGGGGGAGGAGTCTTGGTGTGGTGCTGTAGGATAAGTACTGGCCTTCTAACCTTAAGGTTGATGGCTCAAACCCACCATCTGCTCCTTGGAAACCCTATACAGGGTTGCTCTGAGTTGGAACAACGTTTATGGAACCCTGGTGACATGATGTGTTAAGCACTGGGCTGCTAACATAAAGGCCAGAGTTCTAACTCACCAGCCCCTCCACAGAGAGACAATGAGGCTGTCTGCTTCTGTAAAGATTTACAAGCTCGTTAACCCTACAAGCCATTCTACTGAGTCCTGTAGGGCAATAGGAATCGGAAGGAACTTGATGGTAGAAGGACTCTTTATAGAGGCAGAATGCCAGAGTTTTTCTCCAGTAGGCTGGCAGGGTCAAACTGCTAACCTTTGAGTTAGCAGCTGAGTACTTAACCATTGTGCCACCAGGAGTCCCTCACAATTCCAGAGATAGCGTGTTAATGAATTGTACTGGTGTCAGGTAACAAAGCCAATTTAACCTATGCAAGAAGGGGAGTTTGATAAATAGCATTTCTTAACTTGAGTCATGTTCATTCTACCTTTTAAAGTTTGCTCAGATTGACTTAAAGGGGAAAACAAGTCCTCTCTCCTCAGCATTGACAAGTTTTTTGTTTTTGTTGCGGTTCTCAAGCTTTTATTGTGAATTGAGTGAAAGTTTACAGGGCAGGTCATCAGTTTTACATTCAACAAATCCTATTTTGTTTCATTGCAATGATTACAACCCCCTCCATGCACTATCAGTTAAAAGTATTTATTTCTATTCAACTTCCTCACAGCAGTTCGAAACTACCACCTGTTCTGCGGGAGACAGATGTGGCTTTCTGCTTCTGTAAAGATTTACAGCCTCAGAAACCCTATGCAGGGTCACTGTGAGTCAGAACCCACTCCACAGCACCTAACAACATTGAAAATACATATTTGTCTAAATGTCCAAAGGGCACATTTTACAAGCCAGCCTCCTGCCGTCATGCACACAGCCTTCCTCAGTGCGTAGGCCTAGAGTCAGGCCTCAGTTGCTCTGTCTCTAGATGCCATCACTTCTGCCTCGGTCTCTGCTGTCGATGCTTGTCTGGTTAGGATCCCACGCTCCACTCATGTTCTTTCCTCTTGATGGTCCTAGGGTCCTCTGTCCCTAAAATGAAAGGTTAACTACTCTCCCCTTTTAGTTTCGCATCTTCTACAATTACAGTTGAGACAATCACAATTCTAATAACCTATTACTCACAGTTAAATCGTAAAATCCTATCAGCACCATCCTCTACCCGCTTTCACCAGATCCATCTGGTCAAGAGAAAAACTATTCAGTGGAGAGTCTACTTTACCCGCCTCATTCTGAAACTACGTATACTTATTATGAAAGCTTGTAAGCCAGTCACTTCGTGCCTTTATAGCCCCCATTTTTGACAGCTAAGTTACTGGTCCCTATCAACCCAGTGTACTGAGGAGGCAAGCTTGATCCTTGATATGAAGAATCTTTACCTTTTGGTTGGAATTTTGAGCAACAACATCCATAAGCAAAGGTCCAGGTCATCAAACTGTAACAATTTATGCTTGCTCCCTGTATTAAACTTCTTTTTTCAAATGGTCAACATTATTTTTTGTGTATGTGTGTGTCTATTCCTTCCAACTTCTTTTTTTTTTTTAAGTTTTCTTTTTTTTTTTTTAAGTTTTTATTGTGGATTGAGTGAAAGTTTACAGGGCAGTTTTACATTCAACAAACCATACACCTCGTTTCATTACAATGGTTGTAATCTCCTCTATGTACCATCAGATAACAGTATTTCTCTCTATTCACGTTAGTTCTTTTTTCAAAACTCTCAGGCATATATAATACTTTACACCAATATTCTGAAAGTTTGCCTCCTGACTGCCAGCTCTTAGTCCCCCTCTTCCCATGAATCTAGAGTACTCAGCTGCTCCCTCTCTTCATGTCCCCATCTCTGCCTCCATCTCTGGTGTCACTGCTTCTCTGGATAAGGTCTCACATTCTGCTTGTGCCCTTCTCCCTTGATGGTTCTAGGGTCCTTTGTTTCTGGACTGTAAGCTTAACTACACTCCCATTTTTGTTACAAAATTTCTACTTTTACAATTATGACAGTCATGATAACAATTACTGACTATTGAATCATAAGAATCTTATCCCTCATCTCTTTTAACCAGACCCATCTAGACAAGATGAAAACTATTCAGTGGGGACTCCTTACCCCGCCACCCCCATACTCTTAAACTAAACTCCCTCTTGAAACCTTGTAAGTCAGTCACTTCGTGCCTTTATTGCCCCCTCATTTTAGGTAGCCAATGTCTTAAGTTGCCCGTCCCTATCTACCCTGTGTACACAGGGGATAGCATTGATAGTTGATGTGAAGACTCCTTCCCTCTGTGTTGGGATTTAGAGTTACTAC